CAGCTCCAGCATGCGGCGTCTGGCCTCGTCATCACTGGTGCCCACCACCAGATGGTCTCGGAACCGATCATCGGTGCAGTTCGGGCAAACATCACAGCAGGACGCTATCTCCTTCAGGGCGCAGATAAAATCGTCCACTGACTCGCCTGGCTCCTGCATCCGCATGTTAAATTCGCAGCGGTCGATCACCACGTTCCGCTGCCGCCGAAGGTGGGCGTGCATGGCGGTGATCACATCGGCCATGGACGCCTCGGCCGGGATGGGCAGGCCGAACCGAACCACGCGGGCCCAGTCGTCGTCGAGAACGGCGAGCAGGGCGGCCCGCTGCTCAGCCTCGGTGAGATCGTGGACGCCGGTGAGGAGGCAGTAGCCGGAGAACTTCTCTTTCCAGGCCTCAAACTCCTTGAGGGTAGCGGTAGCCGCCAGCCGGGGCGTGGGCGTGCCGGCGGCGGGCATTCGTGCACGCGGCCGGGCGCCGGAATCGGGCCCCGCAGCTGCCTGGGCGGGTGCCGTGGCGTCCTGCACGGCCGTCGGACCGGGAAGCACCCGCTCCATCAGCGCGGCCATCCGCTCCTCACGTCGCGCTGCCGCTGCAGCCAGCCAGCTCCAATTGCTGCTGCAGCATGCCCCGAAGCAGCTCCATGCACCGAGCTGGCAGGACCCTGGCCGGCTCGGTTACAGGCGCTCATCGGGACTGAGTATGCCGTGTTGGGCCGCAGGTGTTTGAGGAGCAGCACCAGCTCCGGTCGGCGGATAGACCTGGTCAGGGTGGTCTGGTCGGCCAGCCGGACGTAGGTGGCCGTGTATCCGTCCGTGGGTCAGCGACTGCGGCGGCGGCGGGCTGCACGTCAGCCGCAGTGTGCGCGGCCCGGGTACTGGCCGGGCAGGCGCGGCCGCTACTGGTGCAGTGCCTGGCGGTGGGCTGGCCGGCGGCGCGGCCCGTCTGGAGCGCCGACCGGCCGCTCGGCGTCGGCCGTCACTGGGTGCGGCTCGGCTGGTGTCTGCTGGGCTGGAGTACTTTTCTGCTGCCGCCAGAAAAGTCTGTCAATGGGAGGCAGTGACGCCGGGGCTCAGAACCGGGAGGGTGATCCGTCGGAGGGGTTAGCTGTGACTTCCCACCGGGGAAGGTCAGCTATCACTGGGAAGGGTTCGCTGCCACCAGCCACCGGGCAAGGTCATCCCCCACCAGGGAGTGTCAGCTGTCTTTGGGGAGGATCAGATGGCGAGGATCAGCTGTCACTGGATAGGATTCAGATGTCAGGAGAAATACCACTTTTATTATGGGGTTTAGAACAGCTGGAATGGCAGCTCTGTAGCTTGAGCTGACACCATGGGCGGCGGAACGAGGAGGGCACCGGGGCACCGTGCCGTGCCCCCCTTTGGCTTTGGCATTTTAACATTAGCCCTATGGGCGTTGCATGGAAAGAATGGGACTGGGACCAAAAGTCGGCAGTGCCCCCCCCCCCCCTAATTGAAGGTCTTCCGCCGCTACTGGCTGACACCTGACATTAGCGCATATTTTAAGTCTTAGCACCCCAGCAACCACTCCAGCCAAGGATTTATGTTATCAATTTGCTCTGAATCTTCTGAATGGAAGGGTTCACAAGGACATAGTCCCCGCTGAGTGGAACATGTTGGCATGCCCTCCACATTCTAAGCGCGCATACTGGGCTAGGGCAGAATTTGGTCTGAAATCATATGTACGCACAAAACCATGCATAGCCAATCCCTTACTGACAAAGGCCGGGTACAGCCTGCCAGCAGCCATATCCATACCCGTGAGCCAGACTGGAAAAAATACACATTATGCCGAATATGTCCGGCGTAGTGGCGGGATTGCGCCGAAAATTTAAGCGCACGTCTGGCGTAACTTCGCATGCGCCGAATTCAGCGCATGGCGGCGGACGAATTTTTCGGTGCAGGGCGGTCGCATAATTTTTTGGCGAAAGACAGTCACCGAATTTATGCGGTACGCTGGTCAATCTAGCAGCAGATTCACCCCGCGGGCGGCTCTGGAGAGGTTTCGGGACGACACGTCCCCGCCCCGGTCGTCGCGTGCTCGAACTGGCGAGCCGCCCTGAGTCTACTCAGCGGAGGAACGGCCGCCCAGGTGAGGCCTCAACCTTCGGCGTAGAGATAGGCATGGAAAACCTTGTTGAACGTCGCCAAGCGTCGTTAAGCAATAGCAGTGGGTTCCTGCCCACTGCAGTATCGAGGGGAATGAGAGCGTGGACGATCTGGCAAAACTGGCGGCCGCCCTGCCCTCAAACGCCCGATCGCTGACCAGGGCGGTTCATTGTCCGGCCTCGCATCAGTGGCGCGACAACTGCTCAGAATCACTATTCAAGCCACTCCTCGGGAGCACGCCGCCGCTCCCCTCTCCCCGGAGAGGACCGAGAGGATGCCATTTCGGTGCACCAGATGAGGGCGGGCCACCGGGGCCGCTCGCTCCAATACGGCACCGAATCGGCTGTCTCCACTCCGCCGCGTGCCAGCAGTGCCCAGACAAGCGGTGCCCAGCGGCGCTCTGCACCGTGAGCCGAGAAGAGGCTGATGTGCCGGAGCACGTGCTGCTCCGCTGCCGGGCCCTCGCTGGCTCCCGTCGAAGTATTGGGTTTACGTGGAAATAAAAACTAATTCGGACGCTCAAACATGGGATAGCGTACAAAGCCCCGAAACACTCTGCCTGGTTGATATAGCCTTGATCAGTATATGAGCACATGTGCTTTATGTGAAAAGGGCTTGATTTTCGCACAAATAGGCACCTAATTTTTGGCGCAAATCACTCAGAAATTTCGGCGCAAAATGGTCTCACGGGCGTCCGGCGTAGTGTATGGATGTTTTCCAGTCTGGCCCGTGAGGAGTCTCATAAACAAGATATATTTAATATTAATTTTAATTCTGAAATAACTCCCATGCCTGCATAATACAGAGGAGTGTGGTGAATTGAAAAAAACAACAACTAGGTAATGCAGCCACTCGGGCAGAATTCAGCCATTCATCATGCTGTTGGTTTTGTAGGTACTCGGAGCACTGCAGTGTACCAAAATCATATTTTGGGTGTCAGAGAAGAAACTTGCTGACCAAAAAAAAAGGATGAGAGTGAAAAATTGTTGGTCAGGTAAGCTCCAAGAATAGTGGGAAAATGATCAAAAACATTAATCTATCTACAATTGCTCCTTCTCGGTGGAATTGGGAGTGGAAAATTGAGCTTGAAAACTGGAGGTGAGAGTGGAAAATGCTTTTTGCATTTCTATGTCGTTTCCCACCCACATCTACAAATTTTGAGACACTGCGCAGCAGTCAATGCACATTATGGTTCAGTCGCAAGCCTTGCTTTAATCAACGAAAGAAAATTACTTTTTCTATCATGCATCATGAATTAACAAAATTTTTGTTCATATTTTTGTTTTTACCTTTTCTCATTATTTCATGCACACCTTAAAATCATGAAACTGTAGCGAGCAACTGATTGGAAGATAGGAATGTCCTTGCTACATTTCTCGACATTATCAAAACATCTTTTTCCAAACATACCTATCAACATCCTGGAAATATGACTTAGCAATATATTGAGGTTCCATACCCTTGACAAGGCAAATGCACCAACTTTTAAACCAAAACAACTGTACTAACTCTTAAATAAATTTGTGACTCCAACTTATACTCCCTTACAAAAAAAAAAAACAAAATCCTTGCCTGCTGGATCGAAAAGCAATAGAGCGCTCTCGGCCTAGAGCACTTCACGGATAGGCTTTTTAGGATCCGGCCCGGCCCATATCCGGCAAGTCATATCCAGATCCGCCCATTATCCGCCTTTCTTTGAATATCAGAATCCGGCCCACCCATGGCCCGTATTGCAGCCAAACTTCCAAAAAATATCCGTAATAATCCGTTTCACCAATAACTGGTTTCACCCAAAACTGGACTAACAAATTCAATCTAAGGGACCAGACAGCCATACATCTCACAGACCATCATGGTTCCAAAAACCATGCTTATAAACCTAAAACCACATGAAAATCACCACATTGGTAAACTAGGTATCAATTTTTAACTTCAATGTTGAATGTTAAAATTTTGATCCGTTTTGATCCGGGTTCAACCTTCAATTCCCAAATCCGGCCCGCCCATATCCGTTCTTTTTTAACAAATTTAGAATCCAATCCTATCCGGTCCGCGGATTTATCCGTGGATAACGGATTTATCCGGCCCATGAAGTGCTCTAGCTCTCGCCCCACACCCTATTTACGTGAGACCTGCACAAACTTACCAGGTGCTTGCAGTCAGAACACGACACCGTATTCATATTGAAAAAGGGCATAGCGTATAGAAGAGTAGCGACTAGCGTCTCACTGACCTTAGGCCAAAATATTTCACTTGATGACATCCACGCAAGGCCAATGCAGTGTAGATAGGCATATCCAAGGGCATATCAACATAGAAATGATATGTCCAAATATGTCTTTGCCGCGTCATAGTTGTAACGCACTGCGGGGAACTCCAGAGATCTGATTGGCTAATATTAGCCAATCAGTAGCATATGTTACTGGAAACTGTCATAGTGGAAGTAAATTGGTAGCTGTTTCAGCTACCAAACTGATGAAGGAAATAGGTAAAATTGCTTATTTTACACGAACACCTGTCATACGCTAATCAAAGTAGAGCTAATGAAAATGGCATTATCCCACAAAGGAAAGCCAATTTGCCACGTAAGCCACCATGAATAGATTTGCTGAGCTTGTAATCACGTGTTTTTAACAAAAAAAGTCAATGAAATAATGTAATTTACGAATTTCTAGCACTCACATGCATATTTTCGTCTGCACACCGAATTGCGTCCAGGATATTGGCCATGGCGTATTTCTTGTGAACCCTCTGTTAGTGGAAATTCCACTATCTGGCAACTAGCCCTATGTAAACGCGGCTAGTGCAGCTTTATGTACTTGTTAAAAACGGTGGCTGGACCTGTATCAATATTGTTCTCTGTTTTGTTTCAGAGGTTGTCGATGACGCTGTGAAACTGCCGTCAGAGAGACTGCACTGCAGTCTTTGTGGGACTGGAAGGGTGACGGCCATCGAACTGGTGACTCGGGGCTGGTGAAGGCTCGTGCTGGATGCTCGGTGTGGTGACGATGACCGGTGACCGGTGACGAGTGGGCGGTGACGAGTGACTGGTGATAATCGGGTGACCTATCAGCTGTGACGGCTGCAGAGAGGGTGTCAATCAGCGGGGTCAATGATGAGTGAATCGGCCACATCTCCAGCTGAGCTGAACGTCTCGTCCCGGCCGATGGCGGCGCTCCGGTCCGGCTATGACCTGCCCGTGTACGGCCTCGACGACGGCAACTTTCTGCGGCTGCACGTGGTGGCGCTGTCACTCATCTTCTGCAGCCTGGCCTGCGCCATCGCCGTGGTCGTCTGGAGCTTCCGCACACACACCACCAAGTTCTTCACCTGGTCACAAGGTGGGTCAGCGTATAGAAGTGGGTCGACCGGCGATGGGAGCCTCTCGTCCGCCGATAGGCGTCAATAACGCTTGATGAGTTACCAGGGAAGATGCTGGATACTCTTTGTTTGCTTATTTCCTTACTATTTTTCTTGTTTGTCGTTTTTTCCTTCTCCCCGGAGAGAACGCGACGACGGTGGGCAGACAGGAAGGATTGCCTCACCAGACGCGCGCGGCCCTGTTAGCGACAATGACCGCCGGCCTCTGACCTCCCAGGAAACACTAATGGTCGCGCTCCTCGGTGAAAAAAAAAAAACTAAGGACGTGACGAGAAATGCCTACATCATACCTCCTTTTTTGTGCCTTTTTTATCAACAGCGTCGTGATATTGCCCCAGCCGGACGAAGACATAGCAATAGAGGTGGGGGCTATATGCCAAAGTAAATGTGCGCAAATAAAAAAGAGAAAAAGTTGAGCATTAAACATGAGCCGATGAATTGGCAGTTATCATTTTGTATCTGCAAGACCCAACATGGTGTATTTCAACCCTCGCCGGCACAGGGGGGGGGGGGGGGGGTCGGGGTTGATGCATCCCCTAAGGTTTTCGCGAATAACTCGCGTAAAAAGCGGCCGATCGCGACGAAACTTTCAGTACCCTCACGTTAATCATTTTACACCTACCCTGAAAATTTCATGACCCTGACCCAAATGACCTTTGACCTGTGACCTACTTTCCGAGACCACGTTTGGCCGGAATCGCGATTCGGCGTATGTCGCCGCATTAGCCGCGCGTTTGCAAGCTTTTCGTGGTTTCAAACGTTCAAACATGTGATTTGATGTTGCTCCCATTCATTAGGGTGGATGTCAAGGACATCTGAAGGTCAGGTCAGGTCATTGACCTTCGGTGACCTCGGTTCACTTTTTCGAGTTTTACATGTTTATAGGCTAGTTTTTGGAGCTGATTTCGAATTTAGCAACCATTTGAACATTTACGAAGTAGTTATGGTGCCTTCGTAACATGTTAAGAAGCTGTCAGAGGCGGTTGACACGTATTACAAATACCCGTCACGACCCCTACCGGTTGACCTGACCTGACCTGACCCGACCTGGTCTAAATGCTTAAAGACATCATCTCTGATCAAAACTAACACGATATTCGTGATCAGCACCCTGGAAACCCCCACAGCAGCCACACTTTACGACAGGGCCTATTTTAACATGTTAACTGGGGTGGCAAAACCCACCCCAGTGGTGCGGTTTTCCACCCCAGTCGTCTTACTTTGCCACCCCAGTGAAAAACAGCCCAAAAGTCCGCCCACATATATTGGCTGCCGACAATCACGGATGCGACACATTCTTGGGGCGCAACTCAGCTTGACAGGGGGAAAAGGGCTCACTGAGGCGCCACCACCACCAATGGGGGTGCCCTCTCACTACTGGGGGTGCCCTGCCGCAAGTGCAACTGTGGCGCCCTACTTCGATTGGGACACACTACCGGCAATGGGGCGCCCTACCAGCACTTGGGCGCCTACCACGACTGAAGTGTCCTATCAACATTGGGGCGCCCAGACACGATTGGGGCGCCAACCACCTTTGGGCGCCCTATCAGAAATGGGACGCCGTACCACTACTGCGGCGTCGTAACACTACTGTGACGTTCCGCTGGTGCTGGGGCGCCCTAAGTTTCTGGTGCACCCTACCGCCACGAGGCGCCCTACCACCACTGGGGCGCCCACCACTACTTGGGCGCCCTACCACTACTCCGGCGCCCTGCTACAACCGGGGCGCCCTACCATCACTGGGCGCCCTGACACAGCTGGGGCGCCCTATCACAACGGGTGCACCTTACCACAACTGAGGTGCCGTACCACTACTGGGGCGCATTTACTCTAGCAATAAGTCAAGTAACTAACTCGCCCTTACTGCCACTACTGGGGCGCTATGCCACAACTGAGACGCCTTACAACCAGTGGATCGCCCACCGCTGTTTGGGCTCAATGCCGCTACTGGGGCTTCATTACACTACTGAGGGGTGCCCCGTCACGCCTGGGGCGCCCTACCGAGACTGGAGCGCCCTGTCACTACTGGGGCGCCCCTCAGGGACGCCATACCGCTACTGGATTGTCCTAGTATTCAGGCGCCTTACCACAACTGAGAAGATATCTCGGTTGAGGTATCAATGGCGCATCGATGACAAATAGCAATATACAAATTACAACACTGGTCAGTGGTCACCAATGCATCTTTCTTGGCATTACAGAGCCATAAGCTCTTCAAAATCTGGAGAGCGTCTCGAGGCAGTGGCGTGGCGAGATATTGGCCGCAAAATTGAATTGTGATGTGGCTTTGAGACTGGCCGCGTGATCAACAGCGGATTTTCAAACGCACGTGCACGCATTGCTTCTGACGAGGGTATTTCCAAGAGAAAAATCTGGCGGGCGGCGGTTTAATCCTCGCCCGTATTGGTGTTTTTCCAGCCGCGGACGTATAGGGGAAGGGGGGGGGGGCGTTAGACCCCCCACCTTGCCGTTTTGCCCCTGATTGAGCTAGAGCTTCGCGGAAAAAACGAGCGTGTTGCCCGTGACGAGAGAAAGCCGATGATATCCAATTTTAAGGTCCTAGGTCATCGGTTGACCTTCCAGGTCAGATCAATGACCCAAAAGTCGAGAAAATCGGGACCTGTTAGAACGTCGTAAAGGGTGGCTCCTATGGGGTTTTTCGGGGTGCTGATGACGAATATCATGTTAGTTATGATCATAGATGATTCTTCATGCATTTAGGCCAAGTCGGGTCAGGTCAGGTCAGGTCAACCGGTAAGGGTTTTGCCGGGTATTCGTAGTAAGTGGCAACCGCCTCTGACAGCTTCGTAACATGTAGTGAAGGCACCAAAACTACATCGTTAATGTTCAAATGATTGCTAAATTCGAATTCAGCTCCAAAAACTAGCCTAGAAACAAGTAAAACTCCAAAAAGTGAACTGAGGACATCAAAGATCAATGACCTGACCTGACCTTCCAGTGACCTTGACACCCACCCTAATGCTGGCATGGGAGCAACATCATATCACATGCTTGAACGCTTGAAACCACGAAAAGACTGCAAACGCGCGCCTAATGCGAGCTCCGACACGCCGAATCGCGATTCCGACCAAACATGGTCTTGAAAAGTAGGTCACTGGTCAAAGGTCATTAGGGTCAGGGTCATAAAATTTTCAGGGTAGGTGTAAAATTGATTATCGTGAGGGTACCAAAAGTTTCGTCGCGATCGGTCGCTTTTTACGCGAGTTATTCGCGAAAAAACGAGAGGGGTCCGTTTGACCCCCCTCCCCTATCCTGGCGACCGGTTAAGTGACCTCGAGTGACGCCGCTGCCTTGGGATGGGAAGGTGTTTTGTTTATCATGGACGGATCGGGGGGGGGGATTTTAGGGCCATCGGCATAAGCAGTAAAAGTTCTCTGACGAAAGGGGGTTGCACCATGCACAGCCGACTTTTGGCTGAATTCTTTCCATGCAGCGCCCGAAAGGGCTATGTTAGAAAAAAACTATGCCAATAAACGCCTCCAGACACTTTCCCGAAACATTAGCCCTTACGTACTACCGTCACAAATAAAAGATTCTGAGACTCGATTGTGTCGCCCCCCCCCCCATCGAAATGCTGCGCACATCAGCATTTCGGTGGGAGGGGGGCGCCCACACAAGAGACAGGGGCGCCACCAGGGTTACTTTTACAGGAAAAGTTGAGAGGGGGAATAAAGTTCGGGGCAAAGGCGGATCCAGGGGCATCTGAAAGGGGGGTGGGCGGCAATACCATTAGGTTTTTCGTTAGGATGGAGCCCGCAGAACCTTACCTACCCCCAAATCCTATTCTTTCCTCGGGTTTCAGCCACTTTATTTTGGAAGGTTGCCAAAAAATAATTTTGCTAAAAAATATACGCACCTACCTTGGCTGTAAGGGGCGGGGAGGTCCCAACTTGACTGCGCCCTTGCAAATGCCAATCAGTAGTATCAACCTATCAGTGGTATCAATAACTAGTAGGTATACCCCGGCCAAACATTAAGTAACGCCTTTCTAAAGAGAGAGGTTAATCCGCGCCCTGATTGGAGGTCATTTTGGCCCCCATGTGGGTTTTCTTGAAAAGCGAAAAACGGCGGCGCGGAGCGCCGCCAAATTTTTAGTACCTTACCGGGCATCAATTTGAAACCTTCGCACAAAATTTCAAGTCTTAGGTCACCTTAGGTCAGGAGTAATTGATGTCAAACTGTTCGAGCAAAAATGAGCAAAAAACATGAAATTCTTTAACGCTCACAAAAGCTACAGTTAAGCAATTCCAAAGTTCTTTGTGTGGTCGTGTATGTAGAGAAACGACGGCGCTACAAAACTGCAACCTCTACAACTACAAGGTGGGCAGTGATATCCGAACAAAAACTAATGAAGCACAAAACTTGAATTATTATTATTAGTAGGTATTAGTGAGCAGTGAAAGTTCCATTGGGAAAGCCGGCTGTGATGAGGTACATTTTTTTTGCGCCCTGCTCTGCATGCAAAGCAGATGAACGTGAATGCTGCATAAAGAGAAAAGTCATTTATTACTCAAAGCTTTGATGCCTATGGGACAAAACTAACGTTGTTTTTCCTTCAATGATTCCGGTTTGGAGGATGGTTAAACACGGCCATTGTCATATTGGGACAAAAATTTTAGATGTCTGGCCTTGGCGTCGATGAAAAAGTGAAAATAATCGTGAATAAATGGGTCGTTTCTGAGAAAGAACACAGAATATAAAAGGGGGTCCAAAAGGGGGTCACCTTCTTTTTGCGTCAAAGGAGGGGCCATGGCCCATTGCCCCCCTCCCCCTGTATCCACCCTTGGTTCGGAGAGGTAATCCCGTCCCCCGCCGGTTTCTACGCCGACACCTGTACCGATATGTCAGTGATTGCGAAAAGACGGAAGAGACAAGACAAGAGACGGTCCCACCGACTATCCGATCGGTATCGGGTCAAATCTGGAGTTCCTGCTGCACTGAACGTAAAATGGTTGGATGGAACCGAAAATTGAAAATTAATAATTATCTTAACGCCAGCAACGTTGATTGATGACGAGAATCTGATTAACGATGACTATAGAATCTGAATAGCGAATTGATTGAAAATGGGCTCCAAAATAAATTTGAAAGGGGGAAATTCCCCCTTCCCTCCCTAGCCGTTCAGACACGATTTGAAAGGGGGAGCGGAATTTTCGAAGGGGGGAAATTCCCCTCTTCCCCCCCTTTAAAAGTAACCCTGGGCGCCACCACTGCCTGGCCACCCCAGTCAAATTGTCTTAAAATAGGCCCTGCTTTACAACTTTCTAACAGGTCCCGATTTTCCCGATTTTCGGGTCATTGACCTGATCTGGAAGGTCACCCGATGACCTAGGGCCTCAAAATTGGATATTATCGGCTTCGTCTCGTAACGGGCAACACGCTCGTTTTTCCGCGAAGCACTAGCTCGATCAGGGGCCAAACGCGAGGGGGTCGTACCAACGCGAGAGGGTTGTGCCGTCGAAGGACGCAAAATGGGCTGTGCCGGCGAGGGCTCAAAGGAGCGCACACTTCGCAGGGCACTATACCCGCTGTATATAACTGCATAAAATATAACACTGAATGTTGATGGTCATCGATACCAAGTGGTGGCGGCACTGGCAGTCGTGCGTGGCTGCCATCCATTGTTGCCAGGTCAGCACCCCTGGTCGACGCCCACCCCCCACCCCCTCTTACGACCTCGGCTGCCCGGGGGGGGGGGGGCCGAGCTGGAGAGGCAGGAAGAGCGGCTCGCAGATGGGCGGCCGCGGCCGAAATCCGTTTGATCGCGCCAGTGCACTATGGTTGGAAACGGCCTCACGGATGGCCGTGGGCAATTTCGGAATATATGTATATTTGGGGTGTCATTCTGTTGCAAATTGATGAAATGTTTTGAATTGGGCAGAAAAAATTATTTAGTTGCGCATTTAGTCTCCATTATTGTACGTGGAATCGGGAGTTTCTGACAGTGACTTTTTTGGTGCGCCGTCAAAGGTTTAAACAACCGCGCTGGTGATAGCATGTGGAGTACCTCCATGACGTTGTAAAACTGGATTATTATATATCAAAATAATCCTTGTTATGTTGGCTATCGAGTGGAGTGACTCTTTTTCCCATGCGTGTTCAAAATCAGGAACGGCATTGCATTCTGTTTGCAGTGTCACCACAGCAATATTTGCAAAATTGCGTTTATGTTTCATTGGACATACAAAAAGTTCTCCATCGACCTCCATTGAGCTTTTTGGCAGAATAAATCGCTGTTCAATTCTGCGTAAGGGGAACGTAAAAGCAGACTGCGCACTTGTGCGCAAAATCGTCCGTGAAGCGTCATCTCCCGAGGCGTACCTACCCGTCGCTTCGTTAGCACCAGGTCGGCTCGTCAGTCTTGCAATCGCTTATCCTTATAAATGATGGTAAGAAGCAGGGTTGCGGAGTCGTGGTGGCGCCAAATCCGACTCCGACTACGACTCCGACTCCTGACTCGTTGCCATGACTCCGGCCGACTCTGTCTCCGACTCCGGACCCCTGCCAGTGTTTCGGAGTCGCGATGGAGCTGTTCCGATTCGGACCGACTCCGACTTCCACTGCGGGCTCCTGACCGACCCCGACTCCGACTCCGACTCCTGGCTCGTTGCCACGACTCTGGGCGACTCTGACTCCGACTCCGACTCCGACTCCGACTCTGACTTCGACTCCGCACCCCTCGTAAGAAGTAACTGCTCGCCCCTGCACCTGGAGTATGAATATCGTGCAAACGTGTATGGATATCCTGGAGTATGGATATGGATATCCACTGACAGAACAGACATACAGACATGCTGTAAACTCCATTACACTGCCAATACCATGGCAAATCAAATGGCTATCTATGGTTTTTGATCATCGTTCTACAGTTTCCAAAATCTTGAACTGAATGTTGGCAATTTCTCGTGACTACTTCACGACCATGACGCATGCATTTCTGAAATTGATCTTTTTTCAACCAGCCACGTACTCGTATGATAAAATGAATGTCACCATCGTGTTCTACGCCCAAAAGTACCCATAAAACATGTGTCATGCATGGGCTGCGGATAGGTACCAGTTTTAATTTTCGGGGTTATGTGCTTACCTGATTGACCTGACTTTGACCCTGGCCAGTGGCCTATGCTTGACTGACCCCTACATTGATCTGACACTCTTTTAGCACTTATATGAAGGGTTGTGACAGTTGTGACAGTTGTGACAGATTGTTTAGGACCAACTGATGACTGAATTTATTTAGGACCAACTGATGACGATATAATCGAAACGCGAAACGCGAGGCACCGATTGCGAGGTTCTAAAGTCCATGCTACTGAAAGCCCGATTTCAAGTGTTTGACCTGACCTTGACCCGACCTGTGACCTCGAAATTCAGCTTTAAAGTATTCATGTGAATCGTCTCGTCGCGTTCTTCTTTCGTTTGCCGCGCCTCGTGCGTTTCGCTGCGCCTATTTGTTCGCGAGTTATCGGCTGGGGGCGTTGAACGCCCCCCCCCCCCCGGCAAACGGCGGATGGGGAAATACCCCAGCAACTGCCGGGTTAATCTGACGCATGTTTTGTCATTTGATCGTCATTTTATTTCTTACTTTTTTGCCTAATCTAAAAAAAAATCATAAATACTCTTTCTCCAAATTTGTGACCCTTTATGACCAATAGTAAGACACTGTGCGTCACTACGTTGATATTTCTCGCCCTAAAGCATAACAACAATATCCATTCAGTAATAGCAGTATTCAAAACATGTTCAAAATGCCTCACGATATCGATAACATAACGAAAGACATAGGCGACTTATGACATACTTGCAATGATGACGTCACACACGCGTGACGTGACGTGACCTCGTCATTTCTGAGTTACTGTATGATGCACGAAAGACACTGGTATACCTATGCAAAGTTTCATCGCAGTCGGTCTACGCATTAACAAGTTATGGGCAAAACATTTTTTCGCGTTGACCCCCGGCCATCCGTGAGGCCGTTTCCAACCATAGTGCAGTGATCCGGTTACCGAGTGGCCGGCCAAACAGAGCCTGATGGACCCGCTGATAATTGGCCGCCGCGGAGCGCCAGCGACGCCGGAGGGCGAGACCGATATGGCCGGAGGGAGGGCGAGACGGCACCGCCGCGCCGGGGAGCAGCAGTGTCCAGCACTGCCGGAGGGCGAAACGATACCGCCGGAGGGCGAATACCACCAGAGGAAGACGAAGGCAGGACACTCGGACTTAGACGGCAAATAAGGAAAAAGTCTGTGCAAATAGGGAAACATTTATTATCATCACCCCGAAGTCAACAAGGTTTAATTGACGAAACAGAAAACAGCGCGGTCTCTATAATGCACATTGCACGTCACAATATGTGTCCGTGTTCAGAGACAGCTCACCACCTCAATGTGGACTGCATATGGTCTGACCTTAACCACCTGCCGGGATCACCTAGCCGAGAGATCCTATAACTAGATCGATGCCTACTGGCGGATTTAGAGTTCGTGACCCAATTACACCTGAGCAGCACGCACACCACGGAAGCTACGGCACGAGGCTCAGCAGTCTCAGCCGCCACGGAGAGTTCTCTGAACTCGGGCAGGTCCGGGAGTGGATGTGTCCAGCCTCCTCGGCATCGCACCAGACGAGACTGCGGAAACAATCTCCTCAACACGCTGAACGGCTTGAAAAGCTTAACGTGCTGCTAATCAACATTTGAGCCCTTGCTGCAAGTTTTGGCTCAGAGGCTGTGATTTCATAGAACAATCTTTAAAGTTTGCCGACGGTCTTCTGCGATAAATCTCAGTTCGTGCACTTTGGCTAGCCTATGTATACGCGATGTGACAAGCAAGCAGTGACCAAAGTCAGGGATAGGATGTCCAAAGTAGCCGCGGACATATGGTTAGGAAAGCAGCGCATCGCAACGTCTGGTCACGCAGTAACTCGCATTTCGCCGCCATATTCTTAGAATGAGGCCTTCAGTGACATTCGCGTACATTGTAATATATCTTTCGTCGGAAAATGGCCAAACAGGAAGGAACTCTGTACTTAAAGGTTTTGAAGAACTTTGATGGGGCCACTAACTATTTCAATAGCCGGGCTGGTAAAGAGCGCAAAAGATCCCTCCTTCAGCCGAACTACGATATACCCGTCCGTAACACTATGCAAGGCGTTACGCCGTTACATGCATGTTCGGTGTAACCTCTCCCAGCACTCAAGGCCCTTTATACCCGTACAGCACGGGTGTCTGGTGAACTGACAATCAGTGTCGTGGCGGGGGACATGTCACGACCCGGGGTGCCACGGTGCGCAGACAGGGACACTTGCATCAAACACATCTGCAGTGCATCCTGCAGCAGGGGGCTGCCAGCTATGCGCCACCAACATCGCATTTTTTCGGTTCGAGCCAATGCTACAGGCGCCGTCCTCGGCTTGGCCGGATGGGCCACACACACCCGCCGATGAAGGCGAGGACAAGTAATGTGTCGAATGATAAATGTATCTGCATGCTCGTATGTGAAATAAATGCTCTTCAATGTGAAAAACATTGCATTTGTACTGCACTTATTCATTTGGCAAAATTGGCAAAACTTTTAATACGGCTGTAAGCTGCATCCTTCCCGTGCAGGGAAGGGTTGGGGGTAGGGAGCGATACAGCGGGTGACAATGCGCTTAAACATTTTCGCTTCGAAAGTTCTGCCGTCGAACGTTTAGAACAACCGCTGCACCGCTGAACGAGTCGTTGGGCGTTGAAAAGTCGAGTAAAGTAGGTATTTGACTAATCGTGCTGCTCATCACAATTTTTTCCAGACTGACGACCACACCCTTGTCGCATAGGGGAGCGGATAGCGGTCTACATGGCCTTCTGCGACGGCTTGTTCAACATCTCTCACTCGCTGGACCACCTGCACTACGTCATTCAGCGGGACCACGTCACGCCGGCCGGACTGTGCGTGTTCTACGCCATGTTTCTGCTCGAATTTATGACGTCACAGGTGAGCCGATACCACACTGCATGACTCGGAGACATTGAGTGCCAAGTGCCTGTGCCTGTGTAGTGATCATGCCTGTGTAGTGTCCATGCGCAATGCGCATGAACATGGTGGTAAGACATCATGTACACATTTTCAATCGTTTTTCTTGAATTTCTTTATGAAGATTTGCGGCTAAATATGTTTAAATAGGTTGTAAATAATTTTTCGAATGAGGAAATAATGTATTTGAAGAAGGGTTGTAACCCAGATTAGTTTTATGGTGCTATTTCTAGTCACCATATCAGGGAAAATGACTCCTCGAAGCTGCAATCAGTGATTGATCAAACATCCAAGTCGGTTTAGGGCTCACTAGATTTGGTGGAACCACAATCCAAACATTACGAACTAAACTCGTTCGGAATTATGGTAACTCGATTTATCGGCGCACCATTCACTGGATGTGTTTATCTTGTAAACTCTGATTGATGAGCGTTGTTGGTGAGGGCTGCACGATAATTTTACCCGGTCGATACGAAAATGTGCGTTCATCCTCCATGCCTTGTTTCAACCTTCTTCATTGGGTCATTTTACTTGCTTCTTTCGAATACAGTACAATACAATACACCAGTGCAGCGCCCCCATTGTATGCAATAAGGAAATTGTTAATTGAATGCATTTAGTGAATGCGTGTCATAGCTTGCTCTGATACAAAACTTGAGTTTATAAAAATGCATGCAATACGATCACCACAATTCTTCTGAGCAAACATATAATAGGCTTGTACTCATAAGAACCAGGAGGTAGAGGCTTCTTCCAACTTCCAATGCCAATTACTTTTTTCGGAATGAGTCTCACCCAGTACATTGTTCGGCGTGGCGGGCGATCGGTCCGTTCTTCATCCATTTATGTCGACCAATAATGAGATGCACAAAGCTTCGGCCCTGTATATTGTGGCCATGTCGTATGCCCTGAAAGGCCCATCGGTGCGGCACCACCAGCGCCCACCTCGGCCGGCTGACGGAGTTTTCCCATTATCACCCACCCGGAGACCTGTTATTGCCGGCCTGTCAGGTATCGAATGGGCTGTCAGTGCCGGCGGACGGACGGATGGCCGGCCATTGTCCGAATGTGTATCGAGCTGGACAGGATGCGATACAGACCTGGCACAGCCGCGGCAGAAATGGAGGGAAACGTGTGCCTCCCCATCAACAACGCGGGCCTGCTTTGGACAGGAACGCGGGCGAACGGCTTTCGTTAATTGAATTGTTTTTAGCATCGGAGCTTTTATGTACAAGCCCACTGCCGCATCAGAAAAGAATTAATTAGTGAATGAATCAGGACAAATATGCATAACAGTATCGGTCATTCGGACATCTCCCATTGTTTATTTGATTACGATGTTACGATATGCCTACGTTATTGAGCTGGGACTGTGATATGCCTTCATTGGACTGTGACTGTGACATATCCCTTTGGACTTTGGATGTGATATATTCCCGGGCGGCGGTAACTGACGCCGTGTGACGATGTCCCGATGACGCCGGGAATAATTGGTCGGGATGGCGAGCGCCGGAGATTGCTGTCTGATGTAGGGTATCCGTCAGCTGCGGTCAATGGGCGCAGAGCCGGCGGTGACTGCCGATCGGCACTGGGGGACGGCAGAGCTGACGACGGGCGCCGGACGACTGGTGACTGCTAGTGGGCGCCGGGGGACGACCCAGGCTGCCACTGGGCGCCGGAGGACGACCCAGGCTGCCACTGGGCGCCGGAGGACGACCCAGGCTGCCACTGGACGCCGGGGGACGACAGGACTGACAGAGGCGCAGAGAGCCGGCCGGTGGCGGTGACTGCCAATGGGCGCTGCAGAACGGCGGAGCTGCTGTTGGGCGCCGGAGGACGGCAGGACTGCCGATGGGCGCCGGACGACCGTGCTGTCGAGATGCAGGTCCAGAGAGCCGCCAATAAACTGCTCTATCTCAAGTCAAAGCATTAGCCAAGCTATTTATTTATTTATTTATTTATTTATTTATTTATTTATTTATTTATTATTATCAATGTTTCCAAGGAGCATCGTAACAAAGAGTTATGGTCCATGGACTCGTGTGTCTGGACCATTTTGCCGGTGACGTACACCCGTCTGACATGATGCACCCGTCGCGCTGACTCAGAACAGCGGCTTCCGTCACGAACCTCGTGACTGGGTGACGCCCTCCGCGGCACTGTCACAGTCCTGTAACGGACGTGACGGCTCGCCTGTCACCGGTGATGGCCCACCTGTCACCGGACACATGCCACATCTGGGTGCTCTGCTGACACCCGGCCACGCCTGTCGGAGTCTTCAGTCGCCAGGTGCTCGGTGTCGGACCCAAGCCGCGGTCCCCGGCAGTCGGCACACCACACCCCGGCCGCGGCCCCGGCGCACCACTCTGGCCGCGGCCCCCGGTGCACCACCCCGGCCGGGGACACTCAGCGGGGAGAGAGCACGCGGTGCTTCACGAGCGCGGGCCTAACAGCCTCTCAGCAGGGCAGCTCTCCCTCCGTGGCATAAACAGCAGTGAATGCAATAACAAAGTCAGACCCTCCCTCCCATACGGCCCTCGCCGTGATCGCACTGAACCCCCGCCCGCCTCCCCGAGAAATGCCTCTGGGTCCCCCTGGGTCCCCGTCGAATTCCTACTGGATCATGTAGGGCAGCCTCCTTCTAAACCTTTACTGAATCTCTAAGCTCTAAAGACTTTTCTGAGATGAAGCAGTGCCGCAGGCTACCACCATACCAACGTCTGATTATCACGTTGTGCATTTATGTACATATGTACATATGTATGTACCTACGTCTGTAACACGCTGACAACGTCTGTGTCAGACGCAAGGTACGCTGCTGCCATTACGCCTCCCGATGGCTTAGAAAGCATGGTAGATGGGCTCATAGTTTCCAGACCTCTGACAATGCCGTCGTCCAGAGATCCTCGCCATCGCGAATAATATATCTGGATGGGCGCTAGCCATTTGGTTCGGGCTGTCGGCCAGATGAAACGACCGGGCGTTTATGGAGCGGACCGCGCTGTGCTGAGTCGTTGGCCAGCTCGGAGGTCCCCGACATCGGAACCAGAGTACCTACTTCTTAGGCCACGAAATGACCTCGCTGTCAAATATAGGATATATTTCTGAAAAAAGGGATAAGAAACTGCTCTTTGGTCTTGGAACAATTTGGTATGGACCGCCTTGCCGGTGCACGCCAGGGTGTCACTTTCACTTTATGTTTTCATCGTCTTACACGCCTTCAACAAAGCACTTGCATTTGCCCCATCGACATCTTATCCGTTCCATAGAAATAGCGCCCTTCTCGATTCATCAAATTAACGAATAGTTATCGATAATGCATGCACCTGGCATATTAATGGAAATGTTAACTTGTTAAATATGTATGAATTCAAGCACTGTAAAGCATTTCCAGCAGACTGTTCGGTCTCCAGTAGGTAAAGCACTGCCCGCAGTCTGCACTTCCCATGGCTAAAACTCATCCCTGCAAGTGCAAAATGTCTTCGATGAATTTTAATCGTACAGACCTAAAGCCCACCACAGGGGAAAATCGATTTCCCATTACCCAGCCGAGATTACAGTGGCTGGGTAAGTCCCTGCCGCGCCGAATGGTTTATCGCCAAGTCGTATAAATGGCCCCGCAGTCAACGAGACTCAGCTCATTTTGGCTGCTGGTATCGCAACGATCCGTGAAAACTGAACTGTGCAGACCTTTTTTATTATTTTTATTCATGATTTTATGCATATAGTTAACTACATACAATGGCTATCGTCTACCGGCTATGCCTTCCTGTTTCTGGTACAATATGAGGGCCGCACTCTTTGCAACGTGGAATATTGTGTCCTAACTAGGTCCTGGACGATGCTTTGAAGTATGAAAGGCATTGCAAGCCCCTCAATGTCGCCGGTTCTTAGTTATACCAAAATTGGAAGAATATGATGCTGAAAATAAAATAAAAACGAGAAACACTAAAACCATTAAGCATTCACCTTGACTTAGTGCTAAACGGTTGACCTATTTGTTAACCCGCGCCCTGGTGGGGTCTGTTTATAACGCGACCTGGTGGGGGGGGGGAGGGGCTATTTTTTGCCCCCCCCCCCCCCCCTCGTATCTCCGAAACTACTGGACGGATCCGCAAAATTCAAACGGCGTTCGAAAGGCCTGTCAAATTTGTCGAGGGAAACCAAATTTCATTGACCTCCGGGTCACTGATGACGTCACAGGTCAGGTCAAAGATGAAATGTTTCACCGTTCACGGGTCATCTAGGGAATGCGCTATAACACCGAAGAAAACGCATTTTGTCGAGAATCAGCGATAGGGCGTCAGTTGCCTAGTACATATATTGCTATAAGAGGTCACTGACATTACCAGGTCACAGGTCAGGTCACCAAGGGTCACAGGTCAGGTCACATGAACCTAACTTTAGGTACTAAGGTTGTGCGATGCATGTTTTATGGCCAATTTTTCATTTCCAACTCAATGGTGTTGGTTATAAGACTATCAGGTACGGCTTAGGCCACTTTCTGGTGGAGGTCAGGTCAAGGTCAGGTCAAAAAAGGTCAAATTTCAAAGTTGATATTTTTGCATAAAATGGGTATTGATTCGATGCAGCTCGTCACGGGGAGTCTAATGGTGGTCTTTGTTTTGCGCTACGAGGTCTAGAATTGCAAAAAATTGAGTTTGAAAATTTGACGTCATCAATTTTGAACAGTTTTTTCGCTGTAACTTGGCCAAAAAAGAGGTATCGATCTCAAATTTGGTATGTAGATAGAAGGCGGTAAGGACTATCACATATATTCCGGTTTTTTCGAAATTCAAAAAACTTTTTGGATTTTTCGGCTATTATAATCAAAAAATCTATTTTTTGATTTTTTGGGCTCAAAATCCAAAAATTTCAAAAATCCGAGATAGCAGTTTTGTAGCCCTGTCGATTCTACAGCTTTTATGTCTTTATCGTTTTTCTGTATTTGCAAAGCTATA